CCCCAAAACCCCAAAACCCCACTAATCAGAATTCTTATAATTAAAATAAATAGAATTTATTAGAAAATATGTACAAAACTGGTCTGCTTTACATATCAGAATATTTAATTCAAACTTAGTGATAAAATTTAAATCTTGAGATTGCATAAGTTCTATGAACCAAAAGCAATTATAAACCTAGATATGCTCATACTTACTTAACCCAGTAGAACTTTTGATTAACTTTTTATATTTCTAATGACTTAGCCATTGTATTGTGAAACCACTCATAAACTTTAGGATATCTTTGCTGATCCAAAGATTTTTAACTTAGCTTTAAAACACTAAATATCTCCTAATAAGCTAAAATATCTGGCAGAGTCAGCTTATTTCCGCATATATACTACTGCTCAATCGAACTATTAATCTTCATTATTTCAAATAATTCTTCAAGATGACTTAGTATCCTTTAATCGAAAATGTTTATTTAATCCTAGATTGCTTTCATTTGCTTGAGATATATATCTTTATTTAAAAATGACTTTAGGAGGGCTTATTCAATTATGCTTGTGACTGGTTTCATTTCTGATTAGTACCAGACCAGAAATTGCTCAGTCATATAAGTTTAACCGGACTCCTCCTCGAAGTATAGTTTTGATTTAATCTCATCATAAGCATTAGCTAGATAAAATATTTAAGACTTAAGTCCTGGGTAGATTATAAACGTATTATCTTTTATCAATGGAATTTTTCCATCTGGACTCAGTTTCCTAAATTTACTTTTGTTTTACTGGTCTTTCAAAATATCGACTAGCTCAAATTCATAAGTAATTTGGCAATACTCAAGAATTGAAAGTATCACCCGTGTGTCTGTGCTATGAAAATCTCCCCAAATTTGAAGTCTGTGAGTGGGAAGAGTCGAACGTGTTGATGGTCTCTCTAACATGCTATTCTTGCTGTCACAACAACCCATTTTATTATTTGTCGAAAAAGTTGATGATTATTTATATTTAATATTGTTTTAAATTATTCAATTTTTGTGACTCTTCGATCTAATGTAATTTATTGAGCCTGGGGTTTTGGGGTTTTGGGGTTTTGGGG